TGAGGTACTGCAGAAATTTGGTGAAACGATGGAAAAACAAAAAAACACATGAGAGCTTGTTTAAGAGATACTTGTTTAACACTTAACGTTCGCTTTTATAGAATGTATATCTTCACTTATTCATCCCAATCGTGATCTGCTAGATGTACCTACGGATCACTTCTGTCAAAAGAGAATATTAATATTTAGAAACTGAAACCATGTGTGTCCATCATACGACCACAACATGAGATCAGTTGTTTGACGTGACGTCATCCATGTCACAACGCGCGAGGTCAAACTACAGATAGTATATCACATAGAAGTTAATTTACGCTAAAATAAGCGAATTGAGAGGATATTCTACATCAATAAATGTGTAAATCTAAACTTAATTGGACCTAATATCCATTGCAGAATGTTTGAAATACGAACCCTGTTTTACGATGATATATTCCATTTCTTTTAGATTTACAATGTGTATTTGATAATATATACATGGTTACATAGTTGGTTAGCAGTTATCTTATATAATCACAGCATGTTACATGTAAATTAGACAAGTGTAAAATAATATTTAAGCAAACCAATCCTAGCGCCTTTATCACAGTTTCAGTGAAAGGAAAAACAAATCGAAATCCAACTTTACAGCACATCGTATCCACAAGCAGTAAACTCCAATGTAAAAAGGTATGGCTGTCATCATTTAGAAGTCATGTTGGTGTTTTCAGTAGTTGTATTATGTTTGTGTCGCGTGTACCATCGAAAGAAGCTGTGAGTGTTTTATTTATTACACGAAAGAGTGCATGATTTAAAGAATTTGTGTTGATGCATATGTGTGTGCCAGATTTGCATGTGTCATTTCCAATATACGTGTCACCTTTACGATCAAGAGCAGCAATAGTAGCAGTAGTAGTAGTAGTAGTAGTGGTAGTAGTAGTAGAAATGAATACGCCGGTCAACAGATCAGTATGCATTCAAATTTGATTTATTACTCCCTTGGATATATAATTGGGTGTATATATCTGGAAGTAACAATATGATATTGTTAATAATCTGTTCATGAAGACTTCTAATACTTTGATAGTGCAAAGTTTACACTCTCCTCACCACGTCGCCGAGCATCTTTTGATACGGAGAAAGGGAGACGACCCAGATGAGGCCCACACGTCGTTTCCCACAACTTGTTACCTAGGTCAAACCAATATTTCTTCACAAGGTAATTGCTCATGTTTCACTAGTTTGTGAGATATAATAATGTTAAGGCCAAATTTAAATGACAACCCCAATTGGGCTTTTCATATATCCCATAACTGTCACGAAATTATTCCTGCCGTAATGTTGCTGTAATGCCTCTCAGTTTCTATCAAATATAAGATATCATCATTCGCCTGGAATATATTTAATTACATTAAATAATACATATATTCCATAAAATCAATGCTGAATAACTATTAGTCATTTCATAATACGTTCAGCAATTGATATTTCAGATATTTATGAATTCGATACTCTCGAAGTACCACTGCAGTTCTTTCATAAGGAAGTGAGCTGGTTGTAGCCATATTTTGTAATTTCGCTACAACTGCATCTTATGGGCGGTGGGATAGCCTTGTGGTTAAAGTGTTAGCTCGTCAAGCCGAAGACACGGGTTAAATCCTCCGATGTCATATGCGCCTGATGTGCCTGGAATATTGCTAAAAGCGGCTCAGAAACCTATCCTAGTACATATATTTGTAATATCGGAGGTGACAGAAGTGGCAGTGTCTAAAGCGCTGTGTCTTCCTTATGCGTGCCACAAGTCCCAGATCCATACTGATCATATTTCTAGATGCTCGTGGGTTTCACCACAGTGGTAAACGTACGCGACCTGACACACCGTGATATAACTGAAATACTTGTCAAGGCAGCATTAAACCATACTCACTATAAGAGTGTTATCCCGTATTCAACATTTTGTTTGCATGTACAGGTTCTCGACCTTCACAATGGCATTAAGAAAACGAGAGTGTGGTCAGGTTCCCGTTACGTCACCCTCAAAGACATGTGCTACCGTCAGACTGATGTCTCCAAGAATTGCGTCACATCTCCAATACTAGAGTACTTCCAGGCTGTACATAAAAACATCGACACACAGAAGAACGATGATTGTCACATATTTATCGAGGCTGACTAGCTGGACCACTTCCTTATCTGTACAAGTTAAAAACCAGATTGTGTTATACTTTCAAATGAATGCTATTGTATAGGACATATTTAAATGTAATTATATACATGAGTTGCGCTTATAGTTAAAAAGCACAGAAATACATTTTATAAACATTTTATAAAACACATCACCGGGGTAGAATGTGTCCCCAGTACCCCATTGCTGGTCGTAAGAGGCGACCGAATTTGGCAACAAGTTTGGGTTGCGCCCCTGCGTCGGTGGAGGATGGGCACTGGAGCCCTGTGTTTTTGTACAGGTGCTTTTATAGGTAAATACCATGGACCCAACCAGCTTGACATTTCTCCTTTTATTAACAACAGCTGTTCATGGGAGCAGGGATGCTGAAACATATTTTCACAATATGTTTCTAAATCTACACTTAGGTTCATCACAAGCCAACAAACGTAGGCATTATAGATTCTGATGGAGCTGTCCCTTCACAAGTGACTGATTCTTGGCCATGGTTCATGGTCATCGCATCCGCTGATCACAATCCTCTCAAACTGATTCCTTTTGTTACTCCTAGGGGAATTCAAAGCATCTGTTGGGAAGAAATAACACATGAGTTTACGAACCAAGGTGTTACAGTTAAGCGCTTTACCATAAAATCTCATAATGGAAATATTGTAAACACTCAAACCTACCATTTCACTTTTTCGCTTTCAACTATCCCAAAGTCAATAAAAGCTGGTTATTTTAACATCGGAGTGGAGGTTTATGTCCCAAATATACTCCAGTGTTACAAGTGTCAAAAATTAGGTCAAGGAGACACATTTTGCCCTGCCAAGAACTGCTTTCCCTGTCCTGCCTCTGATCGTGAATAAAAAGTAATACAAAACAATTGTACAAACAATAATTCTTACACAGAAGCCAAGTATTATTTCTTCCATCCCAAACACCTTTCACCAAAATGTATTCAGCTGCTGTGCCCGCTACGACTCCAGTTGTCAAAGTATCCACATGCTGTATTCGAACTGCTATCTCTTGGGTAAAGGATAATCACATTTCACGAGATGAAATCACCCAGACATCTCAAAATGACCCATTGCTAGCAACATCTGCTTCAATCCGCAACATCTGGACAAGACAAGACAATTTATTCAGTATAGCATGGTGGCCCAAAATACAGACATATAGCAGACATTAGCGCTATTTTACAATGCATGCACACATACACATACATAAACGCACATTTATGTGTTCATGCGATGCGTTTTATACCAACATGAGATGGATTCAACCGGTCCACCCATAATATCCCCACCTACATTTTCCGTGACCCTAAAGTGTCGAAGATGTCTACCAAGTGGAAGAAGAGGTTGATGGCGGCAGTGAAGAGTGCAGTCGACCCGGAGATGGACATGTAAGTGTATGAATCGGTATGACCGATACTCCTTTGTTATCCTTGTCGGCATCAATGCCTTAATTTTGTGGGCATGGACACAATCATTGCTGTTATACCAGTGCTCTGGTAGGTATACCCGTAATCCATGTCGATGTCAATGTTTTATTCATGGAGCTATCCTTGCGCTATCCATGCATGCACCCACGCGTCACATATATCTTACCCCAGTAGACATATAAGGCCGCCTCCGTGGTCAAGTGGTAGAGCGTCCGCCCGGAGAGCGGAAGGTCCGGGGTTCGATCCCCGGCTGCGTCATACCAAAAGACGTTAAAAGATGGTACTTGTTGTTACCCTGTCTGGCGCTCGGCATTAATGGGCTGAAACAAGAACTGGTCGGCTCGGAGTCAGTTTACTGTGTCTGATGGGATATTCATGTTAAACTGCGGCATGGTATCTCAGTGAGCTAGGTATCAGTCCGGACTAGTACAAACAGCCACACAAACACACACACCATATTGCACGTCGCTTTATAAGTGCAATAATCTTGGACGCGACGTTAAATCCCATTTCACCTCACCTCACCAGTAGACATATATGTCGTCTATGTCGTTATAAATGTCTTTTTCATGTCGTCATCCAGCGGTGTTATCCAGTTTGTCATCCACACTTTATCCCAGTAAGGAATGCATAAGGAATGTTATTCATGCAGACGTCCACACCTTATCCGGCTATGCATACAGTTGTTACCCATGTGTGTACCCCTGACTTATCTCAGCAGACCTACGTGTTATCCAATGATCTAACCCTGCCTTATCCCAGTAGATATACACGTGTTATCCATATATGTATCCCTGCCTTATCCCAGTAGATATACACGTGTTATCCATATATGTATCCCTGCCTTATCCCAGTAGATATAAACGTGTTATCCATATATGTATCCCTGCCTTAACCCAGTAGGCATACACGTGCTATCCATATATGTACCCCTGCCTTACCCAAGTCGGCATACACATGCTTTCCATATATGTACCCCTGCCTTACCCAAGTCGGCATACACGTGATATCCATACATTAACCCCTGCCTTACCCAAGTCGGCATACACATGCTTTCCATACATGAACCCCTGCCTTACCCAAGTCGGCATACACGTGATATCCATACATGAACCCCTGCCTTACCCAAGTCGGCATACACGTGATATCCATACATGAACCCCTGCCTTACCCAAGTCGGCATACACGTGATATCCATACATGAACCCTTTGCTTTACCCAAGTCGGCATACACGTGATATCCATACATGAACCCCATGCAAATGGTGACAAACATGTGCATTATGTCAGACCCGTCTAGTATAAACTTGTGCCTATTTACGCGACTAAGATGAGCACACTTGACATTTTACAGTAGGTGTGTAAATCTCCTGACGTGTCGCATACCAACAAGCGCTCAGTGTTGTTCATATCAACAGCAGATTACTTGTGTACTGATACGTGTAACGGATCGGGGCTAGAAACGGTAAAACGTAACACGGATTTTGATGGTTTCACGCATGGCTAGCATATACCAGTGTATGTGTTACATAAGCATTGTGTGGGACTCCATTGGAACAAGGGTATAAACTGACGTGGGCGTGGGAATATTGACACAATGGTAGTCTTGAGCGGACTGTAAGCCGAGCGGTAGTCCGGGGCACAGATTTGGGGACAAACTACATGTGAACTTGTGTCATGAATCGTTTTGAAATTCCTATTCCAATGTGCACGTGTTCGCCGTATGGTTACACGTTGTTTTGACTATGCCCTGTGAAGACGCCGTTGAAACATCTCGTCACTAGTCAGTGTACTACCAATCGGATATACACGCTGTATAAAGGTGAGATATTCCTGCCTTATACTGTTTATAGCACTATAAACATCGTTGTTCTAAATTCTGAAATTTTAGAAAGGTTAGAGTTCTGATTGTATATTACCAATTATTTGACTATTAAAAGTATACAATTGTATTCACAAAGAGGCGAAACTATTCATAGCCAGACCGTGGAAAAATACAACCTATTTCTAATGTTTATCTGCTCCTTGCCATTAACACTCTGACAGGGTGTAGTGTACACTTGCTAATCTTATCGTCACTGGCTTAGTTTCACGTCTATCATTGTTGATGGCCTGTAACCAAGTAGAGTAGGATTAATGGAATTATGCTAATCCGTGTTAATGTTTAATGGCATGGGCGTAAACAGATACGTGTGGGGATATTTGTACCGGTATACAACATACCGTGTGATATGTGTTTCATTCGCGTGTAACATTTAGAGTATTGTCAATACACCTTTCAGGATATTACCTATTGCTCATCACCTGTCAACAGTATGAACATCCAAACAAGCAAAGGGATGGGTTTGAAGTCGAGTAGTGGCATGGGTATTGAAACTACCAAAGGTGCCGCTCTCAAAGAAGGAAAGGATATTTATAAGTCAGACGATTATGCTCAGATACGGAAATACCTAGGTACCAAGTCGCACTATGAAGGAGGGTACAACCCAACCCCCCGATCCAGGGTTATCAAGGTGAAGGCCGCCCAAGTGAAACCAGAATCAGCAACGCCATCACCAGAGGTAGGTTGACTTAAAACATTTTAAATTGTTTAACAGGCATAACTTAGAAGATGACGGATGATAAAGTAGGCACAATTTACCATTAACAACTTCAGAATCTTTATTTACTGTAAGGGCGACGTTTCGGTAACGATCCTTATACCGTTGTCAAGTCGTATTGGGATCTATACTGAAAAGTCGCCTTTACGGTAAATAAAGAAGTTGTTGACCATAAATTGTGTCTACTTTGTTAAAAATGTTGCTGATGTCCATTCAGTGGAACCTCGTCAGCATGTAACCCTTTTACCCAGATAACCCGCTATGAAGGCGTTCACTAAAAGGGCGTGCATATATTCATGAAAGGGATAGTATCTTCGATTTGTTATTTCTGAAATTTGTTACAACGACGGTTGCGAAGGATTTAACTGGATTTCACTATATAAATTTTTACTTTATGGATGTCGACCCTTATTTGCAATTTAGCCTAATGTGTCTTTTGATTCTAATCTGTCATTTCTCGAACATCTGGTACAATCACTCATTGACACATACTCATGATATAGAAGGGATCGTGCAATCGACTCTGCATTTAGCAGAGATTTCGTAGGGTCATGGAAAGGGTTTTGTTGCTTTCTATTGCGTATATGTTTGAGGTAAAATGTGAATGTGTGCGTCAACTTGTAGATGAGAGTTATTGACGTTCATCTTTCTGTTCATCTTTAGGTTTAAGACCGCTGTAACGCTGGTATCATCTGCAAGGTTTGCATTGTGTGTCTTCACAGGCTTACACGGCACCGAAAGTGTGGTGTTTGGCATTATGCTTTCACGTGACGACATTAACAGTGCATTCACTGCACACATTCACATAAACGTGTCTCATTATAAAATTAAAAGTGCATCTTCACTTCCCACCATTCATAGTGCTTTCACATCGCAACATTAAATTCACATCAAAGTGCATTATATTATAATTAAATTTACAACTACACCGAGATTCAGTAGTGATAGTGGTTGGATAGCCTTGTAGTTATTTAAAACTCCGACTTGACACGTATTTATACCTCCACGTGCGTACAATGTGTAAAGTCAATTCTCGATGAACCATAACTGGAATAGTACTAAAAGCGGCGTAAAACCAAGTCAGCGAGCCTGACCACCCGATCCCGTTAGTCGCCTTTTACAGAAGGTATGGGCATGAAGACCCATTCTACCCCGACTCTCCAGCGGGTCCTAAGTCGTTACAAACACTGGATAAGACATATTGTCTGCACATAAAGAGAGCTCTTACTCATCATATTAAACACGTTTCCGTACGTTAACTGATATGGACTCATTCAATACCACGGAACTAAACCTTGGGTGATTCCGGGTCAGTGTACATCCCCAGTACCAAGTGCTTGTCGACTTAAGTGTGGATCGAGTGGTGATACTTGGCTGGTTGTGTGAGATCGTACCCCAACAGCTTGGGTCGTTGTTCATTGCATCATCCACTTGGTTGTCTGGCCCAGACTCGATTATTTACAGTCAACTGTGATAGTGCTGGAATATGCCTGACTGCGGCGTAAAATAACAAACAAAACAAAAGACTTCGTAGTTTGTATCACATATAAAGGAGTCACAAAGTATGCATGTTACCAGGGTGATAGAGTAGATACTCTCCTCAATGGATATCTTCCGGGTTAGAATAGGTCCCCAGCAACTTATGCTGGTCGAAAGAGGCGGATAAATGGATTTGGTGGTCAGGCACTGTGGTTGATTGATCGTTGTTCATAATATCAGTCACTTTAGTCACTCTATGGCTGAAATATTGCCGCTGTGACTTTAAATATTAACTCACTCACTAATATCAGTCACTGGCTTGTCAGGTTCAGACTCGATTATTCACAGGCTGCCGTCATATAGCTGGAATATTGCTGAGTGTGGAGTAGAACAAAACATTCTTCATAAAAACAAAGAAAATATAACAGGATTTTTTTATTATTTCATAAGATCTGCAGGATACGCGTCTAACATAATGTTGTGAAGCTCTATGTTATTATTTTGTAGTTAGGGAAACGGGTGACTCAGCCCTCTAAGGCGCCGCAAATCATAAGCATGCCAGAAACCTTTTATCGTGGGTTCGAATCCTATATTCACCCACGTTATGTTTCCAAGTTTGTCAGCACCATCCGTGCTCGAGGATTTCACCAAAATTGTAAACGTCTCAGACTTGCATTACTTAGGGGGTTCCTCCCACATTAAGCTGTCAAGTGTTTGATATAACTGAGCGACTGTTAACAGCGGCGTTAAGTGATACCCAAATACTGTATAGCGTCAACTCACTCACTGTTACATGGTTGGCCTCTCATTTCAGGCAGAAGTACCAAGGATCAAGACCCCGCACGGCTCGGCTGTCGGGACAGTCAAGAGGATGCTGTTCCTGTTTGAACAGAATGCTCATTCACACTCTCCACCTCTGGGCTGGGACGCATTTTCCTGACATGTGACAATGTCCATATCGTCCCCTCTATACAACATACATCATACCCGAATGTTTTCACCAACAGGAGAAACATATCACCCATTCAGGAAACCCCGTTAAACCGAACTGTACCACTGTGGCATCGTCTGAAATATCACATTGTCTGGATAACGAGTTGTTTTGGAGTACTGCTGTATACAGGTAGAGGTCCTGACAGAGAGTGGTGATTCTTGACTAAGGGGATTATCAGGATTTCATTGTGCATGCTGTACAAGTATAACTGTGTCATGTATTTAATGTATGGTTTTCTAATGCTGTTCTCCGAGGGCGCTGAATTTTCACAATAAGGAAAGACGTTCAATAGACAAGCCTTCATACTATGTGCAGCTGCTCAAATCTCACATATTAAGATTGGGATTTAAAAATATTCTCAATTTGCATTAATACATTTATGTGTGTTTTTCTCTCTTTATTAGAATTGTGGATTGTACATAACCGCCGTGCTAATGGTGACTTGGTATACTTACCTCATTCAATTATAATTTATGAATACTTGACCCGTGAAGTTCCTGGGTAGAATAGGTCTTCAGCAACCCAAGGCGACTATGATTTGGTTAGTCATTTATTTATTGATTTCAAATGACTCAAGCTTATATTTACAGGATGCTGTATGACGAGTTAATAAGTGTGCCTCGCATACATGTGGTTGTTGGCGATAGATTATGTACCGACTGGAGAGTGATAACTGACAGGTTGACATGTTATACTCCAGTGTTGGTCGTCATGGACTAATCGTCCATTAGATACTGATATTTAATGATATTTGTCAATGTAGGTAGTATAACGTAGGTAGTATATTTCTTATCGACCCGTGAAGATTCGGTCTTCAGCAACCTATACTTGCTGTAAAATGCGACTATGCTTGTCGGAAGATGCCACTAACGGGATCGGGTGGTCAGGCTCGCCGACTTGGTTAATGCATGTCATCGTATCCCAATTGCGTGGATCAAATGCTGATGATGGCAATTACTTGATTGTCTGGTCCTAACTCGATTATTTACAGACCGCCGTCATGTAGCTGCAAATCTACTGAAAAATTCTTCATTTTGACCTGGCCTGTTTTATACCTAAACTGTGATATTTGCTTTACTGTTTTACTGTCCTTTGTCAACAGATACTTCACGATAAATAACTTGTTCTCATCGCGATATGGCTGTAATATTGCCGATGCGATACTAATTCACACATGGGCCTGAAAGTGAAATTTGACTTTTGCGCGAGCTGTTCGTATACGTTAATATGCGCTATAGGATTCGAGTATTTGGCTGCCACAGATAGACTCGTGATATTATTTCCTCTCGCCATTTCGTTCTCGCAACGGTACCTTTACATCTCAATAAAAAATTGTCCCTCATCTATCCTCTGCCGTGTTTCCTTTCTGGGCTGGGTACTGACAATAAGCAAATGTTGTTTGACACTTATAGGCTTCGCCTGGCATGATGAAGAGACATTAAATGATGTTCGAACATGTTTTTAAGCATAACTTCTATTTTCGAACAAATAAAATTCTTATGTGTGCAGGAAAATGTTGTGTCTGTTTTTGTAATGTTACATACCTGCAGTAAAACTCGATTGAATAACATGCTCTTTTGCATGGAGGGCTAACGTTGTTTTGCTGGAGACTTATAGCCAGGTTTGTATGTCATATCTGTGTCTTATAGTCTAATCTTTTAATGTTCTCCTACAAGTTTTAGATAAGTCTCTGATATTTTGCTAGTTTTAAAGCTGTCCTTTGACAACAGGTTTGTATGTGGTATTAATGTAGAGATCGTTCAAGTCACGATATGGTTGACCGTGACTTTAACGCTATTTTGCCTTTTCGCCCAACCAGTGAAGATCCGGGTTAAGGTTGGTCTTCAGCAACCAATGCTTATCTTTAGAGGCGAGCATACTTTTCGTAAGAGGCGACTAAGGGGGTCGGTGGTCAGGCTCGGTGACTTGGCTGATGCATGCCATCGTATCCCAATTACGAAGATCGATATTCATGATGTCAATCACTGGATTGTCTGATCCAGACTCGATTATTTACAGCCCGTCGTTATACAGCTGGAATATTTCTGCGTGCGGCGTTAAACAACAAACAAACCAACTTTATGCCCAATGGAATCTGTTTCGGCAAATAATCGAGACAGATGATTCTCTGGCGTAGACATTTTATATTTAGATACGCATATCTATTTTTTACTCAGCTCCTGTTGTTGAACAGCATAACGTTGGACAAGGCCCAGGCAATTTGGAAGTCCAAGCAAATATAAATGACGTTGTGCGAACCACTCTGTTAAAGCCAATTTACTTATGTTATCAGTACAGGTTGTAGTGAGTGAGTGAATATGGTTTTACGCCGCTTTTAGCAATATTCCAGCAATATCACGGCGGGGGACACCAGAAATGGGCTTCACACATTGTACCCATGTCGGGAATCGAACCCGGGTCTTCGGCGTGACGAGCGAACGCTTTAACAACTAGGCTACCCGACCGCCCTCAGTACAGGTTGTAACGATTACCCTACATATATATATATTTTTAATAGGAAACAGGTTCATTCATGACACGCAATACAATGTCTACACCTGAAAATGGGTACCGTGGTACATGGACTCACACTGATCTTGGCATGGTCTCGAATCGAACTCAAACAATATCACAAAACGTCTCATGATACGATAACTCTAGCATGATATAGATAGTCTTGAATTCATTAAAACATTACATGACATGCCAAACAAAAGCGACACACTGACACACACAAAAAAACACGTGGTACGTATAACACAAGTCTTAGGTATAAAAATACAATACCTTTCTCGTTATCTACCTACAAAAGGGTCATTTCTGTTCATTTAAACAACTATACAAAATGTTTTCACAATGACGACCATGCCATATTTACCTCCCCACCTTCACTCCTGCACGTACACCTTCACACCATTACTGGGTGTACTACAGACGGTAGTAACTCGTACTTGCCACCATGTGTTTTCGAAGGAACATGCAGAGAAGAACCAATTGATTATACCTTATTTATTTCGTTTTCATCAGTATTATCAGTGGTGTGTATTGCATTCCCTTGTGTCATGGTCCAATCCTGCTAAAAAAGAATCTCAATAACTTAATGAAATTTTGTGTTCAGTGATATCCGTATGCTGAGATACGGAACAAACATTTGCTATACAGAAGGAACTAAAATATCAAAATAGTTTAATAAACTTCAGGCATAAGTCGACTTTAGCAGCCAATGGTAATATATAACATAATTTTAGCTGAAAACATAATAAAGGTTTTATGTAAGTATATTAATTGCTTTAGAATTTATCGGAGAATTTTGTCTCTTCACAAGTCGTATTTACATACCATTCTAATGGATGTTCGTATTGTAATGATGGGTCGCAAGTGACACTTACGACCTTCTAGGAATTGCACACTAATTTAGCGTTATTTTTGTTAACAGGCAACAGCATGAACTGGAAAAAGAAGATTTGTTAAATGCAATTGAATTAGGGAAATTAGGATGTGTGACACCTGCTCTTTGTACTCAGTGTTGTTAAAGGATGTTGAACGACAATTACTTAGTATTGAAAATAACTATATTCGTTCATTAACATCACGACATGAGGTTTTTCAACATCAAGTTCCTTTCAACATAAAAGTTATGTGGGTTAACCATTTGAGAAATGACTTGACCAGATTATATATACTAAGAGACATACCAAAACTGCTAAACATTAGCCATCACTTGGCATTGTCTCATTAATCATTCTAACCACCAAACCACCATAAAATGGGACGGGAGCGAAAAAGAAATAGAAATCATAAGGCATGTGAAGATGGCATACCATTAAGCCAACTTCGACATAAAGTGGACAAGTATAGTGCAGATGACATGTCAAATGACAGTTTCAATCAATTTCTTATCTGCGTTACTGAACGCCTTGTTTGTGGACAGCATCTGCAGGATGGAGTCGTTGATAGTCATGCTTGTGAGGGGAAGCAAGATGGAGTCATTGATGGTATTGTCTTTGGGGAGACGCGAGTGAAGCCATCGATAGTATTACCTGTGTGGAGAAGCAAGGTGAAGTCACTGATGGTATTGCCTCTGAGGAAAAGCAGGCTGAAGTCACTGATAGCACTGCCTCTGAGGAGAAGCAGGATGAAGTCACTGATAGCACTGCCTGTGTGGAGAAGCATGGTGAAGTCACTGATGATATTGCCTGTGTGGAGAAGCATGGTGAAGTCAATGATGGTATTGCCTGTGTGGAGAAGCAGGGTGAAGTCAATGATAGCACTGCTTGTGTGGAGAAGCAGGAGGAAGTCACTGATGGAATTGCCTCTGAGGAGAAGCAGGGTGAAGTCACTGATAGCACTGCCTCTGAGGAGAAGCAGGGTGAAGTCACTGATGGTATTGCCTCTGAGGAGAAGCAGGGTGAAGTCACTGATGTTATTGCCTCTGAGGAGAAGCATGGTGAAGTCACTGATGGTATTGCCTCTGAGGAGAAGCATGGTGAAGTCAATGATAGCACTGCTTGTGTGGAGAAGCAGGAGGAAGTCACTGATGGAATTGCCTCTGAGGAGAAGCAGGGTGAAGTCACTGATAGCACTGCCTCTGAGGAGAAGCAGGGTGAAGTCACTGATGGTATTGCCTCTGAGGAGAAGCAGGGTGAAGTCACTGATGTTATTGCCTCTGAGGAGAAGCAGGGTGAAGTCACTGATGGTATTGCCTCTGAGGAGAAGCAGGGTGAAGTCACTGATAGCGCTGCCTCTGAGGAGAAGCAGGGTGAAGTCACTGATAGCACTGCCTCTGTGGAGAAGCAGGGTGAAGTCACTGATAGCACTGCCTCTGAGGAGAAGCATGGTGAAGTCACTGATAGCACTGCCTCTGAGGAGAAGCAGGGTGAAGTCACTGATGGTATTGCCTGTGTGGAGAAGCAGGGTAAAGTCAATGATGGTATTGCCTGTGTGGAGAAGCAGGGTGAAGTCAATGATGGTATTGCCTGTGTGGAGAAGCATGGTGAAGTCACAGATAGCACTGATGGTGTGGAGAAGCAGGGTGAAGCCTATGACACATATATTATCAGTTTATATTAATCAGTTCATGTACTTAATATGAACTTTTGAATAGGATCTAACATTTGGATTTAATCTTTCTTACTCAAATACGAATTTCCGTAAAGTACTGTTTGTAAAGAGTTAACATGTTGATAAAAGATACATTTCCATGAAAAGAAGAAAAGAGTAAATTGTACATACAATAAAGAAACGTAAAGTATCATCGATTGGATATCCACAAGAACCATTTTTAGCATCCAAAATACGTCTTTATATTTATCTGCGTTAAGATAGCTGTAGCCAAGCCTGAGGCGTCTGTGAATAATTCGACTTAACCTGTTTCCAAAATTTAAACCCTAGTGTATCCCATTATCTTCCATGTAGCAAGTTCTAACATTTTGTAACAGTCTCTGGCCCCGTTAGGTTTTCTGGTAGCTTATCCCAGAGTGTTGTTGTAGCTGGTATAAATGAATCTGCATATGCTTTATTTTACTTTTACTGTTTTAAGATTATGTTTCCTAAACTGTGTTAGGAAGAAGCCTACAAAGATATTCGGGTGAGATGGTTATTCATGTTCTAAACCGTTTCCAGTTTTGAATATTATCTTTTAATGAGTTACAATTTGTTTCATTGTAAATTGTCTGATGAAACTTACCCCGGACAGCGCCTCATATACATGTACAGTCAAACACCGCTGTGTCGAACTTGCGGTTGTCTCGAAGTAAAAGTTCGGTCCCTACGTATCCTTCTTTATTCATCATTTCCGGTTGTGCCGAACCTTGGATAACTCGAAGTATTTACGTAGGTCCCTTCAACTTCGACAACTTTGACTGTAGTTCTTAGATCATCTTAGCGTATTTTTTCCAGTACATTTGCTTGTTCATTAGCCAAGTTATTCCAATTATGACAAGTTGACAATAATCCAACATTGTGAATATCCATGATTTGCCCATATCTAAGGCATTTCAGGCTATATATTTATATTTTTCTTTAACAATTTACCATAGGACAGTGATATCAATTATTAACGGAGGTAAAAAGGGTATAAAAGAAGAAAAAGAAGAACGAATTAGGACAATTGAATTTGGCAACACAATCAGAAAAAAGTAATCGGAACAAAAGGAATGAGTTCAATTCATCAGTTTCACTGAAAAATGAACGAGGAATAAGGAATAAACTACACTAAACGAATAAGGAAGAGCAAACCAGGAAGGACAACCCTCAACGACCCTTACATTATTGCTGTGTATGGAGCGTCACGTCGGCACTTTCACTGTCCCTTTATACAGTGCGTGTATTTCCGCTTAGCCACTGAAAAGGGTTGTTTTTATTTATGCATTTAACATTGGTTTTTAAGTAAGGAAGAGGAATGTAACTCTGAGTGAAATACAGTGAAGTCGTGACGAAATGAATTAATTGACTCCGTTTCCCTGTCCCACAGCTGATAGTTTATAGACACGTACGGAAATAGTTG